CATGGTCAAATCCATAGAGAAATGAGTTAAGAGCCTCCTACTCCATACTGCCTCCTCCAGATATTAGGCATGTGTTTATTTGTAGGAGAGCTTTGAAAAAAGACCAGGTGGTGGCCTGTGTGGTAAAGAATTGGCCTTGCCCAAAGAGGTCTGACCTTTGTCTTTGGCTTCTGGGAAGTGATGTATGTCCTACCTGATAGAAGAGTCTTTGTTTAGATGAGGGCTAGCCAAACTGGATTTTAAGGTGGGGGCTGGCCATGCCAGAAAGATCGACCATGTCATAAGCTTTGTATCATGCAATATCATTTGACCTGGAGACTGAGTTTAGCCATATGGGCAATCAATCACTCCTACATAAGGAAGCCTCAATAAAAATCTCTCAACATCAGATGAGTTTGATGCATGTTGTCACACACTGATGCTGAGAGGGTCACACGTCCTGACTCCGTGGGAGAGGACAACAGAAGCTGTGCAGTTAGAGCCCTCCATACTTTGCCCCATGCACATTTTTCCTTAGCTGACTTTGTCGTAAACCGTTGATCACCATGAATATAACAGTTCTCAGTGAGTTCTGTGAGCCCTTCTAGGGACTTATCAAAACAGAAGGTGGTTTTAGGAATTGTCCAAACTTGCAATTGGTGTCAGAAGTCATCGGGCCTATGCCCTCAATCCCTGTAATCTGGCTAATCCAGGGCAATAAGTGAATAAAGAAGAAAAACTCAGATCCTTTGCTCCTGAGCTCCTTAGTATTCCTAAAAATAACAACAAAAAGGAAAGGCAAGCAATCAAACAAAAATGAGTGCCTTATGCAAGTCAAAATCACAATGAAACGTCACTTCACACCCACTAGGAAGGCTATAATTAAAAAGATGGTAAGTGTTGCTGAGGATATAGGGAAATTGGAATCCTCATACACTGTTGGTGGGAATGTAAAATGGTTCAGCTGCTTTGGCAGTCTGGCAGTTCTGGTGAAACAGTTATAAGATTGTTGATGTGAAAATGGTCAAACGTGTAGACAGTTTTTATAAAAATTCATTTGAGCCAAACAGAGGACAAGCCTGGAAGCCAGATTGCAACACACTGAGATAAATGCTTCCAAGAAATGACAGTCTGCAGCTTCTGTGCATTTAGAATTAAAGAAAGAAGTAAGCAAGATTACCTGAAGGTGGGAGAAAGCAAGATGGGGGATTGGGTTACAGCATAGTTAAGGAGATTATGTGTTCTCTTGAGGTCATGCTTTACAAGGAGGGTCTAAAAATATCATTTCAAAGGTGTGTAAACCTAGGTGCACAGACAGGGCTTGCTTAAGGCAAAGGTAAGCCTTTTACTAAAGAAGTTCTTGGGAGTGACTACCCACCATGACCTGCCCACTTTGGGATTTATGACCAGGTCACCCTGTGAGGTTACTTTATGTAGAACCCCTTTTCCGTTCACAAGAGCCAGCAATTACACTTCTAGGTCTATACCCCAGATAAAGGAAAACGTGTGTCCTCACAAAAACTTGGTTGTGAAAATTCACAGCAGCATTATTCACAAAAGCCCCAAAGTGTAGCTCAGCAGTTGAGCATGGAACCGAGAGGTCACAGGTTGGATTCCAGGTCAGGGCACATGCCCCATGTAGGCTCAACTCCCTGTGGGAAGCGTGGAGGAGGCGGCCTATTGATGTTTCTCTTTCTCTCATGGATGTTTCCATCTCTCTATCCTTTTCCCTTCCTCTCTCCCTAAAAATCAATAAAAATATGTATTTAAAAACAACAACAACAAAGAAAACACCCCCAAAACCCTAAAGTGGAAGCCACCTGAATGCCCATCAATTAATGACTGGATAAATGAAATGTGGTCTGTCCACACAATGGAATACAATTTGTTGATAAAAACAATTAAAATACTGATCCATGGTACAACATGGATGGACCTTGAAAACATGCCAAGTGAAAGAAGCTGACACAACAGGCTACCTCGTGTATGATTCCATTTGTTTATCTGGAATAAGCAGTCCCATGGACAAAAACTGGTGATTGCCTAACGGGCATTGACTGCTGATGGGAACAGGATATTCTGGGGGTGAGGGAGGTGTAATGAAATGTCCTAAAATTGTGGAGAGGTTGCATAGCTCTGAGTACAGTAAATACATTTATTTTACACTTTAAATCGGGATGTGAATTAGATCACAACCTTTTTATTTATTTTTAATTTAAACCTTGCTTTGGTAAAAAAAAAAAAAAAAAGATGAACTCAGCTCAATGAAATGGAACCATGTGAGTGACTCCGTAAATGCCATACTTAGGTCTTCCCGTTCCTCTGAACAGGGACAATGGGCTGTGACCATTTTCTAGGAACGCCTCGGACCTGCGAAATGGAGGCCGGGATTTCAGAGCTTGATGCCGGGCTTCCAGGCGCCGGCAGGGTCGGGCCCCACAGCCCGAGCCCGGGTGGCTCCTGCCA